TCCAAACGCTGCTGGATAGAAACACTGGAGTGGAGTCAGTGAACTGCTGGATTGAACTGCTAATATCGGAGCTATTATATTGGACATTTTTTATGGTGGCCAATAAAATCCGATACTCATTTTTTGGCTGATATCGGAACGATATCAATATCAGATCGGGATACTCCTACTCACGTAGCACCCCCCATAGTGCARCTCGAGGAACACGGTCAAATGCCTTGTCCAAGTCCACAAAACACATGTAGACTGGATTAACAAACTCCCATGGCCCCTCGAGGACCCTAGTGAGGGTAAAGAGATGGTGTGTGAACTTAATGAAATAAACTAKTGATCTAAAGACATAATCTACATCTTGCTTAATTTATTTTGACCAGCATAACAGAGATCAGCTTTTTAAATTTAACTTTAATTTCTAGGAAGTGGTAGGAATTGGTTTTCATAACTGGGATTTTCCTGTTTAAATAAAGGTCAGTAAATAAATCTATCAATCCATCCATCATTAGCTTTCTAATCAGTTCCAAACATTCATGTATCAATCTTGTTAAATAAATATAAAAACCTCCTCTAAGCTTGTTTGGGATAATTTGTCACATTAATTTACCTGAGCCATAACTGAGTTTAAAAACAGGACGATGCAACTAGTTTAATGAAGAATCTGTCCTTAGTTATTAAATCAGGTGTTCAGGTAAAAGTATGTTTAACAACCTGTTAAAATACACTAGAAATCAGGAAATACAAGAAATATTGGGAAAAATTTTCTGGGGGACAACCCACAGACACCCCTCCAGTGTGTCCTTTACACACATTACAAATCTTCTGATGCCCCTGTTAGAGAAGATGAACACATCTATTGTTCCACCTGTGTGTCTGTATGAAACTATGGATGATTATTATCAAGCTGTATTCTTAGTAAGTTTAAAGGACTGATACAGAACATGGTTTAATAAAAGGTGAACATAATCTCAGTTAATATGGTTTGACTATTATTGCATCCAAGGCTGCAAAAACGAATCGATAAATTTGATAAAAATCGATTTTTAAAAGCGTTGGCAACGAATTTCATTATCGATTCGTTGTGTCATGTGATTTACGCGTCCCTAGTCATGTCACGGAGTTGATTACGTCACCCGCAGAGTGTTGTCAATGCTGGCTGACCTAAATAAAGTTTAGGAAGAAAAAAACTACCTGTAAAGATCCACCCTCTCTGACTCTCGAGTGAAAAGTAGAGACTTCGACCTTTAAACCAGTTTTTAAATGGTGTTGTTAGGCCAAGWAGATCCGAAGGTATGATAAAAAGTATATACCACAGTTAAAAGAAGGTCTGATGCYAGCCGCGTCGCGAGGAGGAAACGTGTGGAGAGGGCACATAAATCCACCGTTTGTTTCCTCCTCCTCTCAGGCCAAAAGTATAAAAACCCTCCAGTTTTTTCTGACTGAGGCTCAAAGTTATTTGTTGAGCAGCAAAAAGGTTCTGGACGGAGGAATAAAAAATAAAATAAAAAGATAGATGTGAGCAGCAGGTCTGCCTCAGCAGAGGAGAGGGGAGGAGGGGGTGGGGGGCGGGGGTGCTGCTGCTGCTGCTTCAGAAC